TATATTTTTAAAAACGGATACACAATCAATGAAATATTATAAAATGGTACTTATCACTTTACCCTTAGTGGCTGACTCTTGCATATAAATATTACTCATGCTTGTAAGTCTCCTACAATAAAAAAAATCCTTCGTCAATAATATTTCATATCAAATCACTAGTCATCAATAAATCAGTCAACCAAATGGTTTCTATCTCGAAAAATCATCAGCAGGTAAGACATACCTTTTACCTCATTTTGACATTTGCTTTATTGGCCCAATAAAGTCCATTCTCTGCCACAGCTCCATTATTCTTGCTGCTTTTATATTTTCCAAGTTCCCATAGATATTTCTACACATTTTTGCCTTAATGCAACATTTACACAGTATATTTAAGTTATCTTTATCTTTAATAACAATTACCACTTGTTCATTCTCCATCTCTTCAATGAAACCCATATTTCCATGTCGATGCCACACATTTTTCTCTGTTGATACATAAGCAGCCTCTTTTCTCTTTTTTGATTCTGCATAATATGCATTCCCTCTTCTCACTTCTTTCATTCGAGCCTCCCTCTTTTCCTTATATGCCTCCACCCCATCATTCTGAAATATAACATATTAGTACTATTCAACGACATTTCTCTATGTAAGGGCTTAGATTTAATTTTCTACATTTATCATTTAGCAACATTCAGACTCTATATCTGATTTATCTTTACCTTTCATAACTATTACCAAGTATTCATTCTCCATCTCTTCATTGATCCTTATATTAATATGTCCTTGCCATTCATTCTTCTCTGTTGAAACATATGCTGCCCCCTTTTTGTTTCTTGATTCCGCATAACATCCGTTTCCTCTTGTCACTCCTTTTATTCGAACTTAACACATTAGCGATGATCATTGACTTTGACCACTGATATTAATATTTATTTAGATTAGGAATACAACATACCTTTCAATCTCACTGTATTCTCCATATCTTTTTGTTATAAAAGGCCATTACCTACATTAATTCTATTCCTTTTTATCTACCTAAACCAGCGTCATTTTCTGAATCTTTATTTGACCATCAACGATTTCTGTCTTGTATGTCATACGGCTACCGCACCTAGAATCGAATAGACGTATCATACTTTACATATTTGTATCGCTGCTTTAATTTTTTCTCACTATAAAATATAATTCTTGGCATGTATGCTGATGATATTCCATGAGTCCCATAATCAAACTCTGCTATCACTAATGAAAGGTGGGAAAACAGTGGCTCGTAACTTACGCTATTTAATTACAACTAAAGGTTATGTTAATACAAATACTTACATGTTTTTCCTAATGCAGGCACAACTGCATGGACACAACAATGCTTCCGACGTCTGTTTGCAATTTTTTCTCATTTCCTATGCATTCTCTTGTTCACTTGAAGAAAAATTAACAAATCACTCAATTTCTGTGGTTAATTTATGAAACTTTATTATTGCGTTGTAAAGGCGTACCTTTGCATATTTGTCGTCTGCCAGGTAAAGAAATGAATGCTGTTCTTTTTAAAGTTTTATTGGAAAATTAATTAATTACTCAGTTCCTGCGATTAATATATGAACTTTTATAACTTCGTCGTAAAGGCAGATCCTTGAGCAACTTTCCAATATACCTTTCGATATAGTTTTGTCTCTAATTAATTTAATATTAATTATTATTCTGCGCAGTGTTTGAATTGTTATCGAAGACGCCATTGGTTTTTCATTAATTACTATCCTCTACGCAATTAATTTATGAAACTTTGTGCACTCGTTAGAAAGACAATGTTCGTGCGAATCTTCTCATATAACTTTTGATCACATTTTGCTTCCAGTTTCGTCTAGTAATAAATTTTCTCACGGAAGGTCGTGATGGTCGCCGTTACGAAATCATAGACGCCATAAAGCAAAAATTAATAACTAACAATTTAGAGCTAAATTCTTTACGAAAATTATATAGGAATGTAGCCTGAAGTTCCAGCTTTGCAACGAAATTATAAAAGTTCACAAATTGTTTACGGAAATAGAGTAAGTAATAATTCTTCACTGCCGGAGCCTTTCTATCCTTTTCTATCCCCTCTCTGTCCTCGTCTACCACTTGTCCAGCACATCGTCGACCTCCTTGCCTATTCTATATTCCTATCACTTTTGGTGTATTTGGAACCAAATAATAGATGGCGCTGATCGAAACTGCCGAATGACAAACCACGTGACTCGGTGGGCGGGAGAAACAAAACAATAAAAGGACATAAATAATTATAACACATTTTTCTTCCTTCTCTGTACTCTCTAAGAAAGCCAGACGAACATGAAGTCACAGATGAAGATGCGTTGTTTTATTCTTGGTAAAAAGAAAACGAAACTTCAATTGTTATATGCTTAGGTACTTTTTATTCACTTTGAAAGTTTTACATATACATGTTAATTGTTAACGACATAATAAACAATGACATAGACATTAGAATCTGAATAGATGTCCGTATCACGGACGGTTTCGGGAAAAAGATGTTTCTTAATACATATCACCTAATAATTATCATTACAATGACCATATATATATGTACAATATTTATAAACATATGATAAATGAGTCTATTCAAATACATGAGTTATCCTAATAATTCTTGATATCTCTTATCGTGCATCTTCTCGGCTTTCTCCTGTGCTACACTAATAAGGAGTTTTTTATTCCCTATTCATTTTCCTTTATATTCTTATCATCTTCAGCATCACCTATTTTATAATTTTGTACTTTCCTCGGTTCCTTT